GGTGCCGCACGTGTTCAGATAAATACTGTTTCGTTTGGCCGTAATATACAGTGGGACATTGTGCACATTTGATATAATACACTACAATTAATTAAGGTTTTTAGTTGAGATAAATAAGTCAATGGCACGAGCGGGATTCGAACCCACGATCATCGGCTTGATACGCCGCTGCTCTACCACTTGAGCTATCGTGACCTCGATCCGCTCGGACACCAACTTCCCATATCAACCACACCTTTTGAATTTTCCCTCCTTTTTGGCATTTTTCAAATGTCGTGTAATCAATTTGATGAAGCCGAAGATCGTGGGTACTAAAAAGTATTTTTCACAAATTAATGACATTACATCTTATATAAGCACAATTAAAATTACAAAAAAATTGCCATGAAAATGTAAAAATATATATTTTTAATTATCAAAACAATAAGCTCTTTCTATTGAATAACTGTGTATCTCTAGAAGAAGAAAAAAAGAATTATTATGCAATATTAATTGACACTTTATGTATAAAAAGGTTATGTAATTTGTCATCGTCATCTTCTAACTGAATAACCATTATAAAAATAAGTGAAAGTAAACCAAAGCCTAACTTGAAAAGAACTGACGGAATGGCACAATATCAGTTTTGATTAGCAGATCTAGGTGTTTTCTAGTGCTATTATTACCAACATAGAACACTTGGATCACAAAGATTAAACTTTAGCCAACTTTACATGATTAGCGATTGGGTGAATAACCTGGATTACTCATGACTGATCATAAAATACAATACTAATGGACATTTTCGTAACGAGTGCAAGTTCATTTACTGACCTTCCAGCTCGTAGAACACAGAATCCTACCGAATATTTTTTATTTTATTTATTTGTTACCTTTACATGATAGTATTCTATACAAATATGTATACATGATTAATATATCACACAGCACAACACTAGCACTAATGCCAGCACTGCACCGGTTGAACACATGCTTTGAGAAGCCAGCAATTGCTCGCATGGTTAGGATGTGGCTGGTGTGGAAGATTTGGAATCTGGACCGGATTAGTTAGTTCGTTGACAAAAGGAATGTTGAGGTCTTTTTGGATAGTGAGGTTAGTGAAATAAGGTGCTTTGATAATTTGTCTAATTGTCGATTGGAAGGACTGGATGCGCTGGATATTGTAAGGTTTGGCACTACCCCACAGTTTCACTCCCTATGTCCATATTAGCTTTGTTTTAATTGTCAAGGTCGATTTCTGTCTTAGAAGTCTTCGTAGTAGTCCAAGTCTTGTATTAATTTGTTTTTATTTTTAAAGTCTTGTTAAGTTACTTAACAAGTTAAGTTGGACTTAAGTTTACACGTCAGTCTGCTGTCGAGATATGTCCCAAGTATTTGACTTGAGTAGAAACTGGTATATCTTTGTTTTGATGTACAATGAAGCGTGAACACGTACTTCCAAAAGCTATTTTAAAACCTTCTTGTTTATGAATTTTACTAACTTTTTCTGATAGTTCACCAATGTATGGCAACCAACGGAAACCTAATGATTTATTTATGGTGGGGTGGCTGAGTCCTATTGTTCCTTCTTTTAAAGTAAGTTTTTTATTCTTTTAACTAGCAACCTATCAATAAATATTTCTAGATATCCATTGTTTTTTGCTAGGCTTTTAATAGTTTATAATTTTTTTTATAGTTAACAGATGTTAATGGAGGTTTTAACATACGATCATGAGTCAAATGAAACCACCAGCCTTTTGGGTCCATGGGTGAGAAGAATCCGCTAGTATCATAGTGTCTGTAGTTGTGGGTTTTCTATACATACATTTTTTTCTATATATACTTACTGTGAGTAGGAACTGTCTCTGTTTAGGAGGTTGATGATATCAGGCCACATTAAATTGATCAACATCAACCTCCTAAACAGAGTATTAAAGCTGAGCCACAACATCCCACCGCTATATCCGTGTACTGCAATGTTTATTTATGAGCTGAAAATTGGTACAACCTTTGTAGTAAGACTTACCTTTAAAAACTGACGCAATTTCAGTAGAAACCCTGCTGTTATATTATACGGCTTAATATACAGCGTATTATTATTATTATTATAGAATAAAAGTAGAACGCCGGGATGAATTAAGTAAGCTATGCTACACCGAAACAATTAACTGAATGCGTTAATGTACTGTAATTGTGTCTGTAAGTCTTTTTGAATAAAAGAAGAAACGGTGAATATTTCCTTTTGGTATCTGAATATCTACATATTCAGGTTCTATCTGTGCCGAGCAATCTTTATAATGAGGACAATTGAAGGAGGTAAAAGCTTGCTTCTTGTGGACAGGAGACAGTCCTTTAACTGAATTACAGATGCATCGACACGTCGCCGAAACCAATTAAATTTAGTGAATGAATTCTAGTAAAAAGTAGTCCTCACCGTCTCTCTCTTCTTCATTTTCAGACTCCTTCTTTATTTCTGCCCCTCACACGCTCTCACTCTCTCTTTCTCCTTTTCTCTCTCACCCTCTCCTTCTCACCTCTTTGCCTTGCTCCCTTTCTATCTCTCTCTGCCTCCTTCTTATTCTCTCATTTTTTATATATTCATACTATAAAATCTCTTTTCAGACCTATCTATCTATTTCTATGAAGGAGTGGAGAAGAGTGAATTTATTACTTGAACTAACTCAGGGGTGAACTATCCATCTTGTTGTTAAGATGTTTATGCAAGAATAAAGCCTTGAGTGTCATAAATGATTCAAGCGAACTAAAACTTAGTGATAATAATATATACCAATTTTAGTGTAGAATTAAAATAAATGAGATGGCTATAACGGTACCTGACAAAATGTGAGAAAAACTCAACTTTGACAAATCCATCCAAGCGGTCATATACAGGGTGTTCGGCTCGGGTAACAAACTTTGCCAGTAGATTCTACATTCAAAAAGGAACCAAAAACTCCTAATTAGCTATGGTCCTAATCTCAACAGTTTCGGAGTTATTTCACTTTTTCTGATTTTTTAAAATTTCACGGCCTTGCTTCAAATAAACAATGATAATTCCAAAATTAAAAGGTTTAAAGATAAATAATATGTCATCAATACTAAACTTGTAAACGTTTGTGAAATAAACGTTTTTAGTAGCGAGAACTTTGAAAAAAATTTTAGTTTGAAAACTTTCTTTTGTTGTTTTTAACTTCTTTTTTCCAACCTTGGGGCCCGTTAATTTTCGGAAACGTTCTTCCTTTGATTTTCTTTTTCGTTGTTTTATTTTTTTTTTTAAATTTTGAGGAATTTTTTGAGGGAACGGAAAAAACCGTGGTTGACAGATTGGTAAAGTGGAACGATTAATAATAATACAAAAATATAAAACTTAAGGAAATTTCGAATGAATTTATTAAACTTTTTTTTTAATTTTGATCGACTCAGTGGTTACCGTCCAATAATAAACAAAATATTTAAAAAAAAATATACATATATAATATTTATGTGCATTGATAACAAAAACAAAACTTAGTTGCTGGTTATTAATAAGTCAATCTGGACTTCTTGAATTTTTAATCTACATTCAAAACAGTCCTCAAAACATTGTGCCTTAAGCTCTTTTGTTTATGAGACAGCGAATTTCTACAATCTTGGCGAATTTTCTTGTGGAAGATTCAAGTCGACTTTTCGTAAACAGCATTGAGTAAGGAAACAATCCTTTCGGCGTAAATATACTTCGGTTCACCGCAAATCGCTACAAACCTCGGTGAAAATAACAACAAGCTTAAAGCTAGCACAATCCAGTGGTTGGAAAGATTTAGAACCGTTTGGTGTTTACACTTTGGATTATATACATTAATTGTTTGCATTAAAGTTTCACTACATTCTGTGATCTCACCTTCCTAGCATACATTGTTAGATAATTGGTGTATATTTAACTTTCGGATAAAACTATAAAGTAATTAATTAATCGGAGATCGTGAGATGCGGTCTGGTGTGGCGTAGGTTTTAAAGAAACATTTTATTTGTCGTGCCAACGTTTCGATCTTCATTGAGATCATCTTCAGGGCTCAATGTGTTTGTTTTCCGTGTAGACGTGTCATTCTTGTGTGTCGTGATGAGAGTTCCAGTGAGATAATGATGTTTTATGATAAAACATAAGACTGTGTGTGTTTTTCTAATGTTTTTCTAAAACCTACATCATATCAGACTGCATCTCACGATATCCGAATAATCTTGATTAACGCTCACTAAACACCATACATTACTATAAAGTAATGTGTATTGATCTATTCTAAATAGATGGAAAGTGAGAAGAAGGAGAGAATGTTATATAACAAGAGAGAGAAATAGCTTAATTCGTGTTCTATGGTAAGAATATCCAAATATAAGGCTATCAGTTAAACATTTCAATGCATTTGGGACCTTTGCTTCTACCGTGATCGTAACCAAGGCCAGAGGGCTAACGTTACGGATCATTTAGTTCTGTATTTGGTTTGTGGGGAAAGGGCGCATTGTGCCACAGGGTGTGGGGTAAATATATCAAGCCGTTAGCCAAAGGTGGTTCGCCGCTATTGACACAGCCCTCGTGAAGCCGGAAAAGCAAACATTCAAACAGCCATTAAGTAAGTCGTCAACACGCCGCCCTTTTTTCATTTATGTACAATCAACCTGTGTGTAACTACAGGTGTCAGCTTGTTGAGTCAATGTTTGTCTTTCTCTCGATAATCCGAACCGGCGTTCTCTTAAAATAGGCCGAATCGATTCACTCGTGTCGTAAATGTTTCATAATAATGTTCTGGTTTATATTGATCGACTGATCAGTAGGTACCATACACGTTTGACAACTCAAAATGACAAATTCTTGGTGAATACACGTAGGGTTCCGATCTTCGTAGAGGTCATTAGACGGGTGAAAATAACCCCGTACTAAGATTGCAACCCTACGTAGATTATCTGCAGGTCGATCAACGAACATTATACCTTGGTGAATAGTGCATTTTGCTAAGGAAGAACAATTAGTGAACATCATTTTTATCTAGGTTGTTCGGCGTTAGGCGTTGCAGCCGCTGCGGGGCTGGAATCTCCTCTTCCGAACTTGTTATGCGGGCGAAGGGTGAGGTTTTCCACGTCCACTGCTTCGCCTGCTCCAGCTGCGGCGTCTTGCTGACAAAAGGTGACACATTCGGAATGAGAGAGGGTTCCGTGTACTGCCGTCCGCACTACGAGCTGCTACCGTGCTCTCAGGACGTCGAGGCTCCTCTTTCGCCGGCATGGGCGTCCAAGGGCAGGCCGAGGAAAAGAAAGCTGTCTTCGCCCGAGCCACAGGACCAACTCAGACTAACACATCCATCCCTAGGTAAGTGAGCTATTAACAACAATCACTTTTTTGTAGCTAGGTCGTTTCCTATCATTTTAGTTTGACAAATAAATCAAACACAGAAAATGACTAAATGCTGAAATACATCTGCCAAACCTAAATAGTGACGTTCGATACCAATCGATATGAGTAAAGTATCGAATATTTTCTTTTGATATCGACTGCTTTTGGCATCGAATATTGTCATTCGATACAAGTACTGTCGAGTACTGTTTCAAGTATCCGTAAAAATATTAAAATAGATTTTTTCATCGATTGTTCAAGTAATATTGAATTGTTATTTTCCGTTCGCAACTCACCTTTCATCAAGCTGAGAATTGACTAGTTACTGTAGGAGCGCAGTGTGTCAGCAAAGTTAATCGAGATTTCGAATTGGTGGTTGGTAAATCTGCTAATAATTCTAATAACTCAATTTTTTTCCGCGTCGCACCTCGGATTTTTAATTTCTGTTATTTTTTATGAAATGTTTTTCTCTTCAAGTACCTAAAATGTGTTCTTTTTCCTTCTCATAGGTAGATACCTAATGATGTCTCTTCCTAAAAATAAAGCATGAGGTTATTTTACTAAAAACAATGAATCGTCGGCATCTAGTAAACTGTGCGGGAATACGTCTAATTTTTCAAACATTTGAAAAGAAAACACCCGTTGATAATTTTTCTCAAAACTCATAACGATAAAACTGAAATATCAATTTTCTTGAAATGCGTTGACAGCTTTGCCTTGTTCTTACCTACGTATCAACTATAAGAAAAAATTCTTAAAATATGAACAAACTGCAGATTTTTGTTTATTTTAACGCATGCACATATGTTTATTTTAACGTATTTTCCCACAAATCGTTAGTGAGTAAATTGATCATTTTTAAATAAACGACAAAGAACACAATTATGTACTCGTTAGTATCGAATAATTTCTGTCGATGGTATGGTAGGGTATGGTGGAAAAGGATACTAGGAAGCGGGGTTTGTATTCCCCAGGCACTGCAGCCTTCTGGCTTATTGTACCTTCCTAGTACCTTAGTTCAGTGCAATAGACTCAATCCTTCTCCTTAGAAGTTTCAGCTCATTGACTGTCGCTGCTGCAATTTGATTCCGTAAGTTTTTTCGTACGTTAGGTTAAATCTCCATTGAGCTGTTGCTTCGCATTCTAACATGATATGAGCGGCTGTTTCCTCCTCCTCATCACATAATCTGCAAAATGGGATCATCGTTCTATATACCCATGTTGTGTAAATGGTTTCTCAGATGCCAGTGACGGTTAGTAGTCCTACCACTCCTCGAGTTTGGCCCTCTCCAATTGCATAATTTTTAAATAAACGACAAAGAACACATATGAGTATGTACTCGTTAGTATCGAATAATTTCTGTTGATACTTGAGTAGTATCGAATATTTTCTGGTATCGCATGTCACTAAACCTAAACAGCCTAAATAGGCAGATTAAAATGTATGGAAATAGCAAAATTACAGGTTCCCAACTTCAGATATGTAAAGTTCCACTTCCCCTTGGTATTCTACTTCTCTCCCAACAATAATTTTTAGAAAAAACAAATCTTACTGTAAAAACACCAAACTCTATATCAATAGACCTGGGATAGCAAACAGATACTATTTTTCAATCTGAAATCCTTAAATAGTGCCAAGATTTTGTCTGATAGCCAGGCGACATTAAAGGTCATTGCCTTTTATGAAATACGATCTAAACATGTTTGGTCCTATTTCAACACCATATTCTTGTAGGGATAAAGTAACAAACTAACATTGATTAACCCTGGATTTAAATGTATTGAAGGCAATGTTGAAGGAGACAAACTTGCGACATAGGGAACGAAATATTTCTCTGACGAAGAGAAATTCCTGTCTTACAGGAGAGCTTAACGTCCAACTTTCCGTTGTGTTTCGCTGATCAACTCTTCAAACCATTTTACAATTTTTTTTCCAAATTATTACGAATTACAAAGACATAGTCTCTACCGGGTTTGGACCCAGGACCGCTACGATGGCAGATACGACGAGTACGCCATAATCGCCGTGCCTCCGCGGTCCCGTCACACATATTATTGAACTAATCTACTTGAGGAGTACTTAATAGTCCTGCAATAGGCCCTCTCACACCATACACTCACATTAATAAATACATTCAATCTCAATATACACAAAAAAAGGAAACACAAAACGAGACGTTTAACATGTACTACATAAAATAAAGCATCCCAGTCGGACGCCCTAATCACTCGCCCAACTCGGAGGAGTGACCAAGAGTTGCTTTATGAATAAAATTACTTAATAGCTCCAAATGGTTAATTAAGAAAGGTTTGCATTAGGTGGTAACAAATCTATCGACAACTTGATTACGGTTAAGAATAAAAGTGTCGGCCTCTTTGCAATCGCACCGCAGCCAATATCGGAGTCTTCACTTCCATAAGGTTTTTACCAGATACAAAGGCTTTTCTTGTTCCAGGTGTAGGAAACTCACATTATAAGCTTTCGCACCAACAGAGGACATGTTCCGCTGCTTCTTCCTTCCGATATCTGCACTTGCTTGTTTATCCTCCTTCGAGCTACGTTTTCCTCTGGAGTATGCAATGTTCTACTATCATTTAAATGCGAATACATCAGAGAATTAGTAGTTCTGCCGTTTGTTTTTTCGATGTTGTTGTACTTTTTCTTAACCCATTATTTAAGAGATCTACTTTTTGGCAATTTGGAATGCCGCAAAAGGGTTCAAGCAGATTGGTGTCATCATAGAACTTTTCTAGGCTTCTTTCTGTATAATATTTGGTAAATAATGGACTAGAAGGTTTTTGAAATCTTTAGCAATGAGTGGAAAATGAATATGATGCAAAAAAGAGATAATATCTTTTATAAAAAGCAAAATCAAAAAATGGACCAAGAACTCGACAGAGGAAAAAATAGTTTTGGGTAACTAAGAATGAAACCATTTCAGGGGAGCTATATTGCTCCTCCAAGTATGGTTTTTTTATTTATATGGCAGTTCGAACTTTAGAAAAGATTCCTGGTCCCTCTGTTGCTGATGGGGAATCTTTCCTGGACAGCGTATCAGCCTCTTCCTTAAACTTTTGTCCTTTGTGCCATTGGACCCAGCCAAAAGAGAGTTAAATTAAGATATTTAAAACATAGATAGATATATTATTTTTGTATGAATCCTTCTGAATAGTACAAATAAATGTGTGGTGATTAGTGACCGTTAGTCGATAATTATTCGGAAATCGTGAGATGTGTATCGCAGAAAACAAACACTTTGAGTTAGTAGAAATACTTTGATTGAATATAAAAAATATAATGTTTTTCATTGTATAAATTCACTTTATTCCACATCTTACATGTATTTGTTAAATTTAAACAATGTTTGTAAATCCCAGGCCCTGAAGATGATCTCAATAAAGATTGAAACGTTGGCACGATAAAGAAAATGTTTTCCTGAAACCTACATCACACCAGACCGCATCTCACGATTTCTGAATAAATACAAATAAATGTATCTCAATAAAACCAATGCCAACCGAGCGAAATATTTGTACCAGAGGGCAAACTTTCTCTCCTCCCGCCCAACACTCGTGTGTAAACGGTTGTGTATGTCAACGGGGGAGAAAATTAAAAATTCAAAGCCCGTATTAACCGGGGGTGCGCGGTATTTGCCCAAAGGATCGAGAAGGATTATCGCAAACGGCCACCTGAGAATGTACCAATTGGCTACTGCTTACTGACTTGGATGATCCCGGATAAGTGATGGGCCGAGAACCACCCTCGCCAGAAATTCACCCCGGCACCTGCCCAAGATTACTCAGCATCCACAGGTGTTCACAGATTTTATTAGCGTGGAGGCATTTCACATCTGCTTTGATGGTAAAAACTGTACATGTTTTGGAAGTTGGCAATCATTGATATCATGATTGATAATCAAATCAAATTCAGGTCTCTCTCTCTCTCTCTCTCTCTCTCTCTCTCTCTCTCTCTCTCTCTCTCTCTTTCTCTATCTATCTATCTATCTCTTACATCACTTAAATTTTTTACCAGGGAGGAAATTGCGATGCCATTGCTTTTTCAGGCGTCTTAGATTCCTGGAAGGGTTCGTTATGAAAGGGGTTGTGCTAGAAGTTGGGGATGACGGTCCAGCTTTTATGTGCGTCTTTGTCGACTTCTTGCTCTTCGATTACAAAAGGGATCTGAATGTCTGTGTGGATGGTTGATAGACAGATTGCCGATGTAGGGAAATTACGCATCGAATGGTTTGGACTAGAGTGACTGGATTCTTCGGAGGTTGGAACTATTCGATCAAATCCGTACGTCCGGATTATTTGTAGTATAAATGTGGTGTTTGTCTTGAAATAAGAACTTGGATCTATTGTCGAGTCGACATCGCACTATATCTTCTGTTTAGATCTGTTATTTTAGAAGACAAAATATGGAGGTTCAAAGTAATGGAACTAAAGCTCGAATATTGGACGTCTGGGAGACAAACATACTTATATTAAACGGGAAGGAAGGTTATAAGGCGGAAGGTGAAGGTTTTATTCTTGGATTTTGTTTCGTTGAGACGAATTCGCTATTTCTTGAATCATTCTTCCAAACAGGAGATGTGGTTCTGAAGGTTTCTGGAGGCCAATCCTACATGTACGTATGTCAGGAGTTCACTGTACGGTGGACCATAATGGTACCAAGGATACTGCCTTGCGAAAGACCCAATTTAAACTTTATACGTCTACTTGAAGTTTATACGTCTGCTCAGTTATTTTCTTTCAATTCGAATGCAAGGTGCAAGTAAGACTTCAATCGATGTAAAAGTCATGTTAATCTTATTAACCACAAGTGAATGTTTAGAATAGTTATATTATTTTGAATTAATCCATATTTTCTTAATTATCATAATTAAAAATATTAATTATTTCAAATAATTATTCTTTTTGAAGTCACTGTTGAACTCTATAAGTTTGGTTACAGCGAGCAAGAGAATTGACCCAAAGGACGTGAGTTCGAATCATGCTCGTGACACTAAGTTTTCATTTCGTTCCAAAAACCTTAGATAAAAATAATAATTGATTGGAATTATTTTAAATATTTGGTTACCTACAGTCATGTTTTGTCAGTTTTGTTTGGTTTGGAGAACACAAACATAGCAATTTAAAGAATCGTTTATTTCTGCAAATAATGTACTTATAAGGAAATTTTATATCTCAAGATGATTCTTATGACGTATAATTTATTTTTGTTATATTCATGTACCTTTTTTTACCATGGATTTTGAACGTTTTTGTGTTTCACAAGAGATTTAAATGCGTAAGGATTCTTTTTAATGATGTTTTTAGGGCTAAAATCGTGGTATAATTATTATTGAACAAATACTGAACGAAATTTTTTGAATATCTTCTACGCATGGTTTATTCGGATCGTAAATCTAATTGCGGATGTCGTTATTTCGTCAGACGTAGAACATTATAACCGGAAGAGGAAAAATGGACAGATTGGCAGGATTTTGTTCTCTACCTTGACTTGTTTATTATCCTGAAAATTATTCTCTTAAGAAAAATTCGGCTGTATCCTGTTATAAAAAAAATGCTTTATGTGTGCATTTTAATTTTTATGTTTTCATACATCCACATTATAAACAAAACGTTGATAGTTGAAAACGAATTTTAATCTTTGCCCATTGACTATTATTAAATGTCGAAAAATAACTTATAATGAACGTATCAATAATTTTATATGTTTTGGAAACATAAACGATATAGGAAAATGATACAAATTTAAACA